ATCTCGTGTAAGCAGCTAGATTCTTTGGATATTCAAGCTATTATATAACTTAATTATTCAATACTAATGTGTTGCCTGCTGCGTAAGAGCACTAATACTCTTCAATTTAAAATGGCGATAGTCGGAAGATACTTCCTCTGATTGTTGAATCTAGAAATTTACTCAGGGAATATGCTCGATATGTTAACGAATTCACAGAAAGGGAAGGATAATTTTTGCAAATTAGCAATAGTGAACTCTCAGGTAAGTCTTGGACTCTCAGTAAGAGGTGGTAACCATGGGATTTATTGAATCGTGACCACAAGATGCCTTGAAAGCCCAGCATCACAGGGCTTTGATTGTGCTCAAGTATATAATCATGACAACCGAGTAGATATTGTTGAATTATTTGCCTGACTTTGTTAGCTATCATTGAGACCTCAAAGGCTCATTTTGCAATATCCATTTTCACTACACTTCCGTTTAGCTGTTTCGCGACCTACTTTCCTATGACGTTGAGTTCAAGGTCCTTCTAACGGGTACTCCACTACAGAATAACCTCGAGGAACTTATCCATCTGCTTCACTTTCTAGATCCCAGGAAGTTTGGGTAACTTGAGGAAAAGATTTATCGTTGAATGTGTTAGCTTTATGTGAAATCCTAAAACTAATCGACAAAAGATAGCCTTTTAACTCTATCTGAAACAGTATGTTTCAGTGATGGCAGTGGATAACCGTTGGTGAATTAGCTATCACGGTTACTGCCAATTAATTGGGGATTCAGATGTCATATGGTCACGAAACAAACATCTACCAGGATTAATATCAGTCGTTCTCTTCCGTTTTATGTGGAACTTTTCCCCACATAACGTGCACATTATGCACTTGGAGAGCCCAAAGGTCAGTCTTGGCTCCGCATCATCTTGATTTTTTAGAGACGTTCAAGCTTTAAGCGCCCGGTGGGCGTCAATGACTAAGGAGGAGAGGGCTGAGGATCTGCAGATTACACTGAAGGATCATCTTCTGCGTAGAATGAAACGTGATGTCATTAAAGATCTTCCAAAAAAGACCGAGATTATTGTCCCTCTTAGTCTGACTCCGCTGCAAAAGTGAGTAGTTTGTGTTTTGCAAGACCACTGTAGCACTTTAATTTAGTTGTTTATCAACTTTGACAATAAAGTTGGCTTTTCTCTTTTAAATCCCTCTAGTGTATTCTACGGTAAACGTTGCAGAACACAAGGAGTAGAATAAATAACGCTGTGTGAAATTGTTTTAGCGAAATTGCATAATTTAATGATGCCTAGCTAGGTCTGGGTAGTAATCCTGATGGAGGGAGGCAATGCTATTGGGAATCGGCACCTCTCTTTTCAAACTCAGACGTATCTACAAAATGGTGCTGACAAAGAACTACGAAGCTCTGCGCACGCGGAACTTAATGAACCCGTTGCTACATCTGCAGAAGGTCTGTAATCATCCGTACCTCATGCCCTCTGGAGAGGCGATGGCTCCACGGGTACCCATTCCCTCCATTGGTACAGCCCATGCCATTGTTTCGATGTACGAGCCGCGCATGCTGGTTGAGTCTAGTGCAAAGCTGCATCTGGTTATGCGGATGCTTCGACGTCTGCGCGACTGTGGACATCGCGTTCTTATCTTCTCTCACCTCGTCAGCATGCTCGACCTTATCCAGATGGCACTTTATAATGAGGGGTACGCGCCTTCTTTTCACTTATGATCCAATACCATTAAAGTGGTTTTAGACTGGTTATACACGTCCTCTATGTGGTTACAAACCGAGGGGATGTGTCATCATCTGGTCGTTGATGCGGCATCGGAAATAAATAGGTGAATCTCA